GAGGGCACCTTTTGGGATGAGCACTGGGTGTTGTATGGAAACCAATTGGACAATAAATTTCATATATTAAAAAAAATTAAAAAAAAATAAAAAAAAAGGTAAGATTCTGAATAAATATTACCAAGATCTGTTGGAATAAAATTCAGATATTACACAATGTTTGTTTTTATTATATTTCTTGTAATTGTTGTTGATTTGATAACTAATTAAAAATTGTGATTTCAGACTGAAAATATTCCCGTGGTTAGAAGACCTGACCGAAAAGATCTGCTTGGATATCTCAATGGTGAAGCATGTGAGTAATTTTTAAATTGCTCTCACTCTTAAATAGCCATTGTTTCTTTCTTTCTCCTGTGAAATAAGAAGCAATGGGAAGAGAATTTGTATTTCCACTAAAAAATTAACCTTCCAGCAGCTATGTGCATATGCCCTCCTTTTTTTTCTGTTATGGTGAATACACTACCTTCATTCCTAAGACCAGTCACCACTTCTCTGTAGATTCCATTTCCTTTCACACTCTCAAAGACTCTGCTTTTGTAAATTATTGCTTCTGCCTTGCGTCATCATCTTCCTCTTTTCCTCTGCATCATTCCCTTTAAAGTGCATACAGCAAGATCTCATTTAAAAATGGTTTTTTGACCCCCCCATTCCTACTATCTACTGTACTGTTTGTTTTTTCCTTTTTATTGCAAAATTCTTTGTAACAGTTGTGTGATATCACTGCTTCCCTCTTGAATCCATTCCGGTTTGGCTTTCCTGTTCATGTCCCACTTATATCACTGTTGTGTGGTTAACACTGACTTAAGGGTTACTCATTCCTTTGGTCTCTCTTATCTGTATCTTGCTTGATCTCTCAACAGCATTAGATACTGTTGACTGCTTCCTTTTGGAAACCCTTTCTTAGCTTGGCATTTGGGGCACCTGATTCTTTTGGTTCTCTTTCTATTCATTGTCCATCTCTCATTTTCTTTTGCTTACTTCCTTATATTCATCCTATTTCTAAGCTTTAAATTATAAATCCACTCCACATCTTTCCTTGGATATTTAATAGGTATCTGAAATTCAATGTATCTGAAATAGAATGCCAATTTTCTCTTTCCCTTCTCCCCTCAAACAAAATAGGTCTGGTCACCCACTGTTCCCATCTCAGTAAATGGCATACCATTCATGTAGTTGCTGAGGCCAGAAACCCTGGGGAAATCTTTGATTACTTTTTTCTCACATCTCATTTTGTGAGCAGGTCCTTTTCTTTAAAAGGATGAGTTTCTTAACCATTCTACTCCCACTATGTTCCATCCATCCCCTTTAGAATTGTATAGCCTTTTCACAGTACCCTACTCTGTATTTTCTAGTATAGTCTTTGCCTACCCACTAGAGTGACCTGTTTTGAAAAACGCATATAAGCAAGTCCATCCTGTGGCTTCCCGTCACATGTAGGATAAAGCTCATACTCCTTATCCTGACCTATGTGATTTTGCTTCTGCCTAAATATCTGTGGCCTCATCTTCTTCCAACTTTCATTTGCTCACAGCGGTCCAGTCTTACTGATTCTTTTAACTATCCTGACTTTCCAAGCCTTTGTACTTGCTATTTTTTTGTGTTCAGTTCTGTTTCTCTACATTGTCACATGTCTTACTTTTTACCACCTCAATCTGTGCTTTAATGATCTGTCAGAAAGAACTTCTCACTCTAAAAAAGAAAATAGTGTTGTTTTTCCACATACATCCATCTGTGTATAGTATCTTCCTAATTTATATTTTGTCAAATCCCTTACATTGACTTGAAATTATATATTGGTTTACTTATATATTATTTGTCTGCCCCACTAGAGGGTAAACTCTAAGGGGGCAGGTAGTTAAATACCCAGTATTTAGAACAGTGGTTAATAGTAGGTGCTTACCTGTATAAGTGAGTAATCATTAATTTGCTGTCTTAAAGAATATGAATAAAATTATAAGTTGGTACAATTAATAGAATATAAATTGGTGAGTATGAATAAATTGATATAATCATATGATAGTATGAATAAATCAATATGAGACCGTTTGGTCGTAACCTTTCTTGGAGTTTAAGTCGTTAATAGCTGTCTTGTTACATATTGAGTTCCATGACTTTAACAGTAATACTGATTTGCATGGAGTCTTTTGCATAATGGAAAGACCATGCTCAAGAGTATTATCTTTCTGTACTGTCCTCTGAACATTCAGCAAGTACTTATTGAGTGGTTATTCTTAAGTAGTGCAATTGCTGGGTCATAGAGTGGTTCTATTTTTAACTTTTTGAGGAACTTTCACACTTTTCCAGAGTGGTTGCACCAGTTTGCATTCCCACCGATAGTGCAAGAGGGTTCCCCTTTCTCTGTGTCTTCTCCAATACCTGCTGTTTCCTGAGTTGTTAATTTTTGCCATTCTGACAGGTGTGAAATGGTATCTCACTGTGGTTTTCATTTGTATTTCCCTGATGATAAGTGATGTTGAGCATTTTTTCATGTGTCTGTTTCCCATTTGTATGTCTTCTTTGGAGAAAAGTCTGTTCATGTCTTCTGCCCATTTCTTAACTGGATTATTTATTTTTTGGGTGTTGAGTTTTATAACTTCTTTATAGATTTTGGATACTAGCACTTTATCCAGTATTTCATTTGCAAATGTCTTCTCCCATTCTGTAGGCTGCCTTTTAGTTTTGTTGATTGTTTCCTTCGCTGTGCAGAAGTTTTTTATCTTGATGAAATCCCAGTAGTTCACGTTTGGTTTTGTTGCCCTCACCTCCAGAGACGTGTCTAGTAAGAAGTTGCTATGGTCAAGGTCAAAGAAATTGCTGCCTGTGTTCTCTAGGATTTTGGTGGTTTCCTGTCTTATGTTTAGGTCTTTCATCCATTTTGAGTTTATTTTTGTGTATGGTGTAAGAAAGTGGTCCAGTTTCATCATGGTCCAGTTTTCCCAACACCATTTGTTGAAGAGACTTTTTTCCATTGAATATTCTTTCCTGCTTTGTTGAAGATTAGTTGACCATAGAGTTGTGGGTCTATTTCTGGGGTCTCTATTCTGTTCATTGATCTATGTGTGTGTTTTTGTGCTGGTACTGTACTGTCTTGATGAATACAGCTTTGTAATACAGCTGAAGTCTGGAATTGTGATGCCTCCCACTTTGCTTTTTTTTTTTTTTTCTTCAACATTAGTTTGGCTATTTGGGATATTTTCTGGTTCCATATAAATTTTAGGATTGTTTGTTCTAGCTCAGTGAAAAATTCTGGTGGTATTTTGATAGGGATTGTATTGAATTTGTAGATTGCTTTGGGTGGCGTAGACATTATAACAGTGTCTGTTTTTCAATCCATGAGCAAGCTATATTTTTCATTTCTTTGTGTTTTCTTCAGTTTCTTTCATAATAAGTGTTCTATATTTTTCAGAGTACCGATCTTTTCCTTCTTTGGTTAGGTTTATTCCTAGATATTTTACGGGTTTTGGTGCAATTGTAAATGGGATCGATTCCTTGATTTCTCTTTCTGATGATTCATTATTGATATATAGAAAGGCAACAGATAGATGTACATTGATTTTATATCCTGTGACTTTGCTGAATTCATCTATCAGTTCTAGCAAATTTTTGATGGAGTCTGAGTCTTTCGGGTTTTCCATATAGAGTATCCTGTCTTCTGTGAACTGTGAAAGTTTGACTTTTTCCTTGCTGGTTTGGGTGCCTTTATTTCTTTTTGTTGTCTGATTGCTGAGGCTAGGACTTCTAGTACTGTACTGAACAACAGTTGTAGGAATGGACATCCCTGTCATGTTTCTGACCTTAGGGGAAAAGCTCTCAGTTTTTCCCCATTGAGAATGATATTAACTGTGGTTCTTTTTTGTATATGGCCTTTATGATATTGAGGTGTGTTCCTTCTATCCCTACTTTCTTGAGGGTTTTTATCAAGAAAGGATGCTGTATTTTGTCAAATGCTTTTTCTACATCTGTTGAGAGGATCATGTTGTTCTTATCGTTTCTTTTATTAATGTGGTGTATCATGTTGAGTTATTGGTGGATATTGAACCAGCCCTGCAGCCCAGTAATAAATCCCACTTGATTACGGTGAATAATTGTTTTAATGTACTGTTGGATTTGATTTGGTGGTATCTTGTTGAGAATGTTTGCATCCATGTTCATCAGGAATATTGGTCTGTCATTCTTTTAGTGAGGTCTTTGGTTTTGGAATCAAGATGATGGTGGTCTCATAGAATGAGTTTGGAGATTTTCCTTCCATTTCAATTTTTTGAAAGAATAAGTATTAACTCTTCTTTAAATGTTTGGTAGAATTCCCCTGGGAAGCCATCCTGTCTTGGACTGTTTGTTGAGAGTTTTTTTTTTTACTGATTCAGTTTCTTTGCTGGTCATGGGTCTGTTCAAGTTTTCTGTTTTTTTTTTTTTAATTTAAAAAAATTTGTATTTATTATTGAGAGAGTGCCAGCAGGAGGAGGGGCAAAGGGGGGGGGCAGAAGATCTGAAGTGGACTCTGTGCTTAGAGCAGAGAGCCCCAAACTAGGGCTTGAACTCACGACCTGTGAGATCATGACCTGAGCTGAAGTTGGACACGCAACCAAATGAGCCACCCAGGCACCTTGTTTGTTCAAATTTTCTATATCTTCTTCAGTTTTGGTAGTTTATGTTTCTAAGAATTTATCCATTTCTTCCAGATTACCCTATTTGTTGGCATATCATTGTTCATAATATTCTTTTATAATTGTATTTCTGCAGTTGTGATTGTGATCTTTCCTTTGTTTCTTGATTGCATTTATTTGAGGCCTCTCCTTTTTTGTTAAGTTTGGCTAGGAGTTTTCAATTTTATTAATTCTTTGAAAGAACCGGTTCCTCATTATATCGATAATGCTGTGTAGCTTTAAAAAGAAAGAATGCTCCACATATCAGTATGCTAGATCTCTTTTGTTAGGATTAAAAAAAAAAGGCTCAGGACAGTGTATATAGTATGCTATCTTTTATGTGAAAAAGGGGAAAGGGACATGTAGGTGGCTCAGTCAGTTAAGCATCTAACTCATGGTTTTGGCTAAGATCATGATCTCACAGTTTTGGGGATTTTGTCTCTCCTTTCTCTCTTGCGCTCCTCCCCACCCCCCATAAACATTAAAAAAATTTAAAAGGGGGGGAATAAAGGTGTAAGTTTGTATTTCTTGTATCTACAGAAAGAACCTCTAGAAAGATACAGTCAAGACTTAAATAGTCATGTAGGGTGGTGGGAACTAGGTGGATGGGACTAGTTTCATTATTTTCAACCTTTCACAATTTAAATGACTTAATTTAAAAAGTAATTGTGGGGCGCCTGGGTGGCTTAGTTGGTTAAGCGTCTGACTTTGGTTCAGGTCATGATGTCACAGTTCGGGAGTTTAAGCCCCACGTCGGGTTCTGTGTTGACAGCTTAAAGCCTGGAGCCTGCTTTGGATTTCGTGTCTCCCTCTCTCTCTGCCACTTCTCTGCTCACACTTTGTCTCTCTTCTCTCAAAAATAAATAAACGTTAATAAGAAATTTTAATAAAAAAAATAAAAAGTAATTGCAGTGTTTTTTCTACTAATTGTGAATAACTAAAATTTGTATTTTTGAAGTGAATGCTAACTTAAAAAAAAACCTTTTCCTATGGATATGTATTTATGTATTTATGTTTGGATACATTTTATGTGCATGTGTGGTAACGGAGTATATGTTCTTTGAAGTGACCAGTTAATTTCAGTCATCGCAGTAGTTTGTAAGCTAAATTGTTAAAAATAATTTGTCCTTTAAAGACTTTTTTTTAAAAAAATTTTTTTTTCAACGTTTTTTATTTATTTTTGGGACAGAGAGACAGAGCATGAATGGGGTAGGGGCAGAGAGAGAGGGAGACACAGAATCGGAACCAGGCTCCAGGCTCGAGCCATCAGCCCAGAGCCCGACGCGGGGCTCGAACTCACGGACCGCGAGATCGTGACCTGGCTGAAGTCGGACGCTTAACCGACTGCGCCACCCAGGCGCCCCAAGACTTTTAAATATAAATTAGTCTTTTATAATAAACTGTTTTACAAAGCTGCTTTAAAACTTTTTCCCCCCTTAGGAAATTATACATATAAAGTAAGAAATTACAAATATTGAGCATTTTACTTGTAATAATGTCTAGTATATGTGTTCAAATATTGAGCTTCTCACCTAAATCTTTTTAAATCTTCAGCAACATCAGCAAGCATAGACAGAAGTGCCCCTCTAGAAATAGGTCTTCAGCGATCTACCCAAGGTATGTTTTGCTGTGTATTTATATTGAACTTTTAAAAACTTACTCCAAAACCATATATTTACTTTTCTTTTTTTTTCTTAAAGTCAAGAGAGCTGCAGACGAAGTTTTAGCAGAAGCAAAGAAACCACGAATTGAGGTAATGGAATTTTATTTTAAATATGAATCGTAGTGTTACAAAATTGAGATTGTATATGAATACAAATTCTTTTTCATAGTAGTCCTAGGAGTTTTTTTCTGGAAAAATTGTCGTAGTATTATGAGTGTTTGATTAGTAGGAGTTGAGGTATAATTTAAGACCTTTTACAGGGTCGCCTGGGTGGCTCAGTCTGTTGAACGTCCAGCTTCAGCTCAGGTCATGATCTCACAGCTTGTGAGTTTGAGCCCCATGTCAGGCTCTGTGCTGACAGCTCAGAGCCTGGAGCCTGCTTCGGGTTCTGTTCCTCCCGCTCTCTCTGCCCCAACCCACTCGCATTCTGTCTCTCTCAAAAATAAACATTTAAAAAAAAAAAAAAAAAGATCTTTTATGTACAAACTGTGTGGTGGACATATCACTTTATTTTTCTTTGCCTCTTCGATGAAAATGTTGGGCTTCATCAGGAGTTGGGAAATTTCTTCTGTAAAAGTCCAGATAGTAAATATTTTAGGCTTTTTGGGCCATGTAGTTTCTGTTCAGCTATTCCACCCTGCTATCATAGTTGAAAGCAGGCATAAGCAATACGTAAATGAACTGACAGGACTGTATTTCAGTAAAATTTTATAAAACAGATGGTGAGCCTACCTTTGGGTTGTAGTTTGCCTATCCCTGGAATAACATGGTATGAGAATTTGCTGTTCTCTTTTTTTTTTTTTTTAATGTTATTTATTTTTGAGAGGGAGAGAGAACAAGCGTGAGTGGGGGAAGGCGGAGAGAGGGAGACACTGAATCCGAGGCCGGCTCCAGGCTCTGAGCTGTCATCAGAGAGCCGGATGCAGGGCTCAAGCTCATGAACCATGAGATCATGACCTGAGTTAAAGTCAGATGCTTAGCCAGCAGTGGAGTACTAATATTGGTAAATAAGGATAGTTCACATGAAATAGAAGCTGTATGAGAAATGCAGTTAACTTTAGAAAGAAGCATAAGACAGTTAAGCCTTGGAAATTTTAATTATATGAGTATAAGACTCTTTATTTAAAATTTTTAACAAGTCTCAGATCAGTTACATATAAAACCCAGTGCAAATGGAAGATTAGGTACTAGAGATACACTTAAAATCTGAGAAATGAGTACCAATTAACAGTATAGGAAATAACACTTGTAGTCATCATTAATTTAACGTTACTAGAAACCATAACTCTTCTTTTTACACTTGTATAAAAATCAAACAGTTGTGCCTTTGGCCTACTACATAAACAGCAGAGCATCCACAATTAAGGATAAAAAGGTAACTGTTAAAGGGACAGAGTTGTCGACATGTAATCTTTATATATTCATTGACAAAATTTGATGCTGAAACAGTGTAATTTTTTTTTTTTCCAACGTTTATTTATTTTTGGGACAGAGAGAGACAGAGCATGAATGGGGGAGGGGCAGAGAGAGAGGGAGACACAGAATCGGAAACAGGCTCCAGGCTCTGGGCCATCAGCTCAGAGCCTGACGCGGCGCTCGAACTCACAGACCGCAAGATCGTGACCTGGCTGAAGTCAGAGGCTTAACCGACTGCGCCACCCAGGCACCCCTGAAACAGTGTAATTTTAATTAATTTTAAAACAACGTAATTTTCATTAAGCAAACTCTGAGATATGGACATGGTATTTTAGTTAAGGATAGTAATGATAGTTAGCTCATTGTTGCTACTCTGTTCTGGGTGACGTTTTATACACTTTATATTAGCTTGTGTAATCCTAAGCCACAACCTCTGAAGTTGGCAGTCTTGTGCATGCCATCAATGAGCAAACACCTCAGACGGAACAAGTTACTTGCTGAGGTTCACAGAACCAGGAATAGAGCCTAGACGGTCTGGCTCCTAGCCATTCCACTATATATACTGATTACAAATTTTGCAGCAGTAAAATGAGTTTCCACCTGTTCTCTCTGTATGAAGGAAGATTGGGACCCACTGTGAACAAAATGAGTGAATTTAAAGATACTAATTACTTGGAAAACCCGAAATTTACAGTTTTAATTATTTGGAAAACAATTGAATGTGTCAGAAATGCTGATTTGCCTGGATACCATTAACTTGAAAATCAACAAGAAATAGCATAATAAAATTCTTTCCAGAGTATTTATAGAGTTAAAAGAGTTACATAAACAGTTATGTTACATTAACAGTTTTTAGTTCACCGTGTGTATGTTGGGAACCTGCAAGGCACTAGGCTCAGAGAGAGAAACCTTGAGGGCAATGATTCTGAACTTATTAAAGTCTAGGCTGCAGTTGTCTTTAAAATCAGTAGTTTCCTAAGGAACTTGAGTTCCTTGTGCTGTACCTTCATTACAGATGTCTAAAATTTAATGCAGTTTGCTAAAATACTTTGTGTTCATGTCAGCAATATGTCTGTTTTAAATGATAGGTTAATAATAGAGCATGAATTGGAGCACAGCATCTTTTTAGATCTCTTGAGTATACTGATGGCGTTTTATACAATATCATATTTTGTTAGCCATAAACACTGACTCATTTCCTCAGTTGTCTCATTTGTTGAATGTGGGCATTGAACTAGATCAAGTTTTGTTTTGTTTTGTTTTTAATGTTTTTATTTTTGAGAGCAAGCGAGCTTGAGTGGGGGAGGGGCAGCGAGAGGGGGAGACACAGAATCTGAAGCAGGCTCCAGACTCTGAGCTGTCAGCACAGAGCCAGATGCAGGGCTCGAACTCATGAACCGTGAGATCATGACCTGAGCCAAAGTTGGATGCTTAACCGACTGAGCCGTGCAAGTGCCCCAATCAAGTTTTGGTTTTAAATGAACATATTTCAGAGTAAATTTTACCTGAAATTCTAACATGCAGGTTAGAAAAAAGCTGAGCTACCAAGATTGAATTCCGAGCAGTGTCCCATGGGTCACTTTGTAGGAAAAGCCTAATGTTCCGAGGAACATGCTTTGAAAACCATTAAAGTTACACTTCCTGTCATCAGAAATGCTGATGGATTTATGACCTGGGGCAACAGATGCAAAAAACTAGCTCCAAAATGAAATTTTTGACTGTGGTGAGGGCTTTTCATAAAATTTACTAATCAACTTTTCTGAAGAGAAGGAATTTATTTGTGGTGTATTTTTATGAATAAAAGTAGCTGTGTTACATTATGGGAAGAAAAAAGCTGCTGTGGAACACCTGGGTGTCTCAGTTGGTTAAGCATCTGACTCTTTAAATTTAAAGTTTATTTTTGAGAGAGAACACAACCGGGGAAGGGATAGATAGAGGGGGCAAGGCAGAATCCCCAGCAGGCCCCACATCGGCAGCACACGAAGGAGCCTGACTCGGGGCTCAAACTCCTGAGCCAAAATCAAGAGTCTGCTGCTTAAGTGACTGGGGCACCCAGGCGCCCTTTAAGCGTCTGACTCTTGATTTGACTCAGGTCGTGATCTCAGTCTTGGTGAGATTGAGCCCTACCCTGTGTTGGGCTCCATCTGACAGGCTGACAGTGTGGAACCTGTTTGGGATTCTCTCTCATCTCTCTCTCTGCCCCCTCCCCACTTGCCCTCTCTGTGTGTCTCTTTCCTTCAAAATAAGTAAATAAACATTAAAAAAAGTTGCTGAAGTTCTTTGGTAAGCTTTTAATCAGTTCTACAGTTTAATCAGTGATCAGTTTAATCAGTCATCTAATATTTACTTATCATTGTTTTTTCATTAATTTTAGTTGAGAGAGGGAGAGAGAGAGCTTGCAAACAGGGAAGAGGGGCAGTGGGAGAGAGACTGGGAATCTTAAGTAGGCCTTCACACTCAGCACAGAGACTGGTGCAGGGCTTGATCCCACCACCTTGGGATCATGACCTGTTGAACCAAAATCAGTAGGTCGCTTGACCAACTGAGCCACCCAGGCGCCCCCCCAACTTGTATTTATGTAACTAAAAGTAATCTTTTTTTTTTTTTTAATTTTTTTTCAATGTTTTTTATTTATTTTTGGGACAGAGAGAGACAGAGCATGAACGGGGGAGGGGCAGAGAGAGAGGGAGACACAGAATCGGAAACAGGCTCCAGGCTCCAAGCCATCAGCCCAGAGCCTGACGCGGGGCTCGAACTTACGGACCGCGAGATCGTGACCTGGCTGAAGTCGGATGCTTAACCGACTGCGCCACCCAGGCGCCCCTGTAACTAAAAGTAATCTTAAAGTTGAGTTGATTTAAGGCCAGTGATGCCTAGAAAGTTATAGGCAGGAACTTATATAAAGAAAAGTTACATGTAGTTTTTTTTGTTGTTGTTCTAAAAGTTAAATAAAGGGCCACCTGGGTTCCACAGTCAGTTGAGCATCCAACTTTGGCTCAGGTCATGATCTCACAGTGAGTTCGAGCCCCACATTGGGTTCACTGCTGTCAGCCTGTCAACACAGAGCCTGCTTCATATCCTCTGTCCCCCTCGCTCTCTGCCCCTCCCCCACTTGCACGCACTATCTCTCAAAATAAATAAAAGTTAAATAAAAATTTAGAATATTCACTAACCAGCGATTATTTTCAGGATGAAGAGTGTGTGCGTCTTGATAAAGAAAGATTGGCTGCTCGTTTGGAGGGTCACAAAGAAGGGATTGTACAGACTGAGCAGATCAGGTAAGATTTTCTTTAGTAGAAAGTGTTGTATAAGTGTATATGGAAAAAGAGATATTAATATGCCATCTACGTTAATTTTACCTTTTGCATTTATTACGTGCTTCTGTGCCCTAAGTTTAAAAGCTGATGTGTGAGCCTATTTTATGGTAGGGGAGGTTGAAAGCTAATGATGCTTTCTGGAAAACCTTGTTCTTGGTACTATTACCACATTGATCTTTCCTGTTTAAAATTACTCCATAACCAAGCCACTCATTTATTTTGTGATCTCTTGTTGATTTATAGCAGAGGTTAACAGACTTTTTTGTACAGTGACACGTATTAAATACTTTCGGCTTTGAAGGTCATGTGGGGTTTTTTTTTGCAGCTATTTAATGCTTGTGGTAAGGAAAGCAGTCTGTGATTGCTCTAATTCATAAGAGAATTAGCATGGCTAGATTTGGCTTGTGGTATTATTTTGTTTATCTCTGAATTTTACTATAATTAGAATCCCTTCATAATTTTTCCTTGGCACAATATAGCGCTTTGGAAATTCTATCCAAACTAAAAAATTCAATGCGGATCTTTAAAAGCTTTATTAAAGATGATTAACATAGCAGGAAGCTGCACATATTTAAAGCATATTTGTTGATAAGCTTTCACATATGTATACATCTGTGAAACCATCATCATAATCCAGAACATGAATGTAACATCACTGCTGTAAATTTCTTCTGTACCTTTATGATTCCACGTTTCTACCTGTCCCTGCATCCTTCCCTCTCCAGGAAACCAATGATCTGTTGATTAATTTTTTTCTGGAGTTAAGTATAAATGGAGTTATGTAGTATATACTTCTTTGGTGGTCTGGCCTCTTATTTAGCATAATTATTTTGAGATTCATCCATGTTGCTGAATGTGTCAATAGTTCATTCTTTATTATTGGTGAGTAGTTTATTCTTTTCCATTGTATAGGTGTAACAGTGTTTTCCTAGGCAACTGTTTATGGACATTTTACTTGTTGCTGTTTTTTGGTTATTACAGCTAAAGCTGTGATCATTTGTATACAAGTTTTTTATGGACATAAGTTTTCATTTTTACTGAGTAAATACCTAGAGGAGGAATGATTGAATCATGTAGTGTTTTGTTTTAGATTTACCTTTTTAAGACATCACCAGACTTTTCAAAGTGATTATACCATTTCACATTTCTCCCATGAATATGAGTCCTGCTTTCTTCACAGCCTTGCCAACACTTGGTGTGATCAGGCTTTTTAATTTTAGCCATGCTAAAAGGTATGAGATGATATCTCATTATGATTTTGTCTTGCACTTACCTCATGATTAATGAAATTACGAGCATCTTTTTGTGTGCTTAATTTGCCATCTTATATCATGTTTAGTGAAGGTTCAAATTTTTGTCCATTTTTTTTTTATTGGATTGGATTGTTATTATTGGGTTTTGTAAGTTTGTTGTATGTTCTGGATAGAAGTCCTTTTTCAGACATTGGCTTTGCAGGTATTTTTCCCAGTCTGTGACTTATCTTTACATTCTCTAGCTGCCTTTTGAAAAGCAGCTTGTTTTAATTTTTGTGATGTCTCATTTATCAGTGCATTCTTTTGTAAATTATCTTTTGGTGTTGTAATTAAAGAATCTTTGCTTGAACAAAGTCACCTAAGACTGTCTTGTATTTTCTTGTAGAAATTTTTTTAATTTTAGGGTTTACATTTATGTATTTATTTTTATTATTATTACTTTATTTTTTAAAATTATTTTTGAGAGAGAGCACGACGAATGGGGGCGGGGCAGAGAGAGAGAGGGAGACACAGGATCTGAAGCAGTCTCCAGGCTCTGATCTGTCAGCACAGAGCCTGATGCAGGGCCTGAACTCCCAAAACGCGAGATCATGACCTGAGCTGAAGTCAGACACTTAACTGACTGAGCTACCCAGGCACCTCTAGGTTTTACATTTAAGTCTGTGATCTACCTTTAGTTAAAATTTTTGCATGGGGTGCACAGTATGGCTCAAAATTCATTCATTTTTTATGATGTAGGTATTGAAGTTCAGTTTTGTGCCAGTTGTGCCCAATAGTTTCAGTGTTACTGGTGTCCAATTAATTCTTTGCACTTGTGTAAAAAATCAGTTGTTTCTGGATCCATTCTATACTGTTCATCTGTTTGTCTTTTTGCCAGTGCCAAACTGTTTCATTAGTTTTAAAATCAGATAGTGTTAGCTTTCCAACTTTGTTTTTCTGTTTCAAGGATGTTTTTGCTCTTTTAGGTTCTTTGCATTTCCGCATGAGTTTTGGAATTAACGTGTCAGTTCCTACAAAAAGCTTACTGGGATTTGATTGGGATTGCATTAAATCTATAGACCAGTTTGAGAATTGCTATCTTAAAAATTTGAGTCTTCTGACTTATGAATAAGATGTACTTAGTTTCTCTTCTAGTAATGGAGAGGTATTTAGATCTTTAATTTCTTTTAATGTTTCATGGTTTTCAGTGTATAGGTCTTATACATCTTTTTGTTGTATTTCATACTTTTTGGTGCTATTGTAAGTGATATTTTAAAAATATATCAATTCTTGATTTACTGCTAGTATAGAAATACAGTTGATTTTTGGGTATGGATCTTGTATCCTGCAGTCATGTTAAACTCATTGATTAGTTCTTGTAACTTTTTTGTAGCTATCATTAATTTTTCTACATAGATAATTATGTTGTCTACATATAAAATACATTTTTTTCTTTTTTCTCTTTTTCTTTCTAAACTGGATGCCTTATATTGCTTGTCTTATTGCACTGGCTAGACTTACTAATTGCTTATTAATCTGATGTTGAAGAAGCAGTGAGATTAGACATTCTTACCTCATTCCTCACATTAGGGGAAAGCAGTCTTTCACCATTAAGCATGTTAGGTTAGGTTTTTTTGTTAGATAGCCTTCAGCCGGTTGAGGAAGTATCTTTTTGTTCCTAGTTTGCTGATAGTGTATCAGAAAGGAATGTTAGCTATTGTCACATGCTTTTTCTGATTCTACTGAATTGATCATGTAGTTTTTCTTTTTTGTTAATATGGTAAATTAATGTTTTGATGTTTGCATTTTCATGGATTAATTCTACTTCATTTTTTTTTTTTAATTTTTTTTAAGTTTATATATTTTGAGAGAGGGAACAAGTGGAGGAGGGGCAGAGAGAAGGAGAGACAGAATCACAAGCAGGCACTGCGCCATCAGCATAGAACCCAGTTTGAGGCTTGAACTCACGAACTGAGATCATTACCTGAGCTGAGATCTAGAGTCACTTAACCGACTGTGCCACCCAGGCACCCCTTTACTTCATTATTTTATTGTCTTGCTGCATAACAAATTAACCTGAAACTTAGTGGCTTAGACAGCACATGTTTATTTATTTTTAAAGTTTATTTTGAGAGTGAGCAAGGGTGGGACACAGAGAGAGGGAGGGAGAGAGAGAATCCCAAGCAGGCCCTGTGCTGTCAGCGTGGAGCCTGATGTGGGACTCTGACCCACAAACCATGAGATCATGACCTGTGCTGAAAACAAGAGTCACATGCTTAACTGACTGAGCTACCCAAGTGCCCCAGAAAGTATGTTGATTGTCTTACAGTTTTCTGTGGGTCAGGAGTCTTGGAGTGACTCTGCTTTAGGGCCTCTCACAGTGTTTCAATTAAGGTGTTGACCAGGATTGTGTTCTCATGTGTAGGCTTGATAGGAGAAGGATCTACTTCCAAGCACACTCATGTGCTTGTTGGCATAATTTAGTTCCTTACTGGTTGTTAGACTAATACTTCAGTTCCTCAGATGTTATCTAGAGGACTCTCTTCGTTCTTTGCCACATTTGGTCTCTCCATAGAATATTTCACGGTATTATATCTTGCTTCATCAGAGTGAGCAAGTAAGAGTGGAAGAGAGCTGTCAAGCAAGATAGAAGTTTTTTATAGCCAAATCTTCGGAGTGACACCCTGTCACTTGTACAGCATTTTAATTTTTAGAAGCAAGGTTTAGCCCACACGTACACATAGGAAGAGGATTACACGAGTGTGAATGCAAGAGGTGGATGTTGTTAATAATCATTTCACTAGTTGCTTACCATGATCATGATGTATTTTTGTTATATGTCATTGAACTATACTTTAAAAATTTATATAGAAATTTTGTATCTATGTTCATGAGGTCTGTAGTTTTCTTACGATGTCTTGGTCTTGTTTCTTATCAAGATAATTCCTATCAAGATAATCCAGCTCAGAATGAGTTGGAAAGTATTTCCGTTTCTTCAATTTTCTGGAAAACTTTGTTTAGAATTAGTATTATTTCTTCCTGCATTTGGGAAAATTTATTAGTAAAATTGTACTATAGTTTTCTTTATTTTTATGTATTTCACATAAGATTTTCAACTACATCTTCAGTTTAATAGTTATATGTTTATTCTGGTCCTCTCTTTTCTCTTTCTGTCCTTTGAATGTTTCTTTGAAAGAGTTTGTCCGTTTCATCTATATTGTTCAATTTATTGTCGTAATGTTGTAATTTCCTTTTATGGTGTCTAGGATCTATAATGATGTCCCCACTTTCATTCTTTGATATTAGCAATTGTGTGTTTTCTGTTAGTTTCTTTATTGTCCAACCAAAATTGATCAATTTTATTGATCTTTTCAAAGAATCAGATTGGGATTTTCCTCTTTAGTTATTTTTTTTTTCTTCTTTGTTTTTGATTCTTCAATTTCTGTTCTGATCTTTATGATTTACTTTGTTTTGCTTACTCTGGGTTTAATGTGCTCTATTTTTTATAGTTTCTTAGAGGAAAATCAGTAACTTCAGCTTCCACTGTAAGTACTGCCTTCATGGCATCTCATATTTTGGTATGTTGTGTTTTCATTTTCATTCAGTTCAAAATTTCTAATTTCCCTTGTGATTTCTTCTTTGACTCATGGATTGTTTGCAAATGAGGTGTTTAGTTTCCAAATATTTGGGGTTTTCTAGAGATCTTTGTTACTTATTTCCAGTCTATTACAAAGTATGGTTATATTTATATGACTTTGAATCCTTTGATAAGTATTAAAACTTGTTTTTTGGCCCCAAATATGGTCTTTTCTGTAGGTACTTGAAAAGAATGTTTATTTTGCTGTTATTTTGCAGTGTCTTGCAATGGGCAGGAAGGTCAACTTTGTTGATAGTGTTAATCAAGTCTTCTATATCCTTATTTTCTGTCTTACTTGTATTATTATCAAGATAGAATTATTGAACTCTCTGGCTATGGATTTGTCTATTTTTCCTTGCATTTCTATCAGATTTTGTTCTCTGACTACTTTGAAGCTCTGTTATTAGGTGTAAATGTTTAGCATTCTGTTCTCTTGATGAACGAATCTTCTTATTGTTATAAAATGACCTTTATCCCTAACAATATTTTTTGTTGAAAAAATTTGCTTTCTCTTATAATTCACCTAGACGCTCCTCCAGCTTTTTTTTGGCTTGTGATATCTCTTTATTCTTTTACTTTCTGAAACAAATTGTGGTAAAAAAACACATAACATAAAATTTATCATTGTAACTTATTTTTTTATTTTTATTATTTAAAAATTTTTAAGTTTATTTATTTTGAGAGAGAGAGCAAGCAGGATAAAGGCAGAGAGAGAGAGGGGAGAGAGAGAACCTCTGTGCTCACAGTGCAGAGCCCAAGGTAGGTAGGGCTTCAACTCATGAATAGTGAGATCATGACCTAAGCTAAAATCAGGAGTTGGACGCTTATCTGACTCAGCCACCCAGGCACCCGTATCATTGTAACTGTTTTAAAGTGTGCAGTTCATAGTCTTGAGTACTTTCATATTGTTGTGCAACCATGTCCAGAACTCTCTTCATCCTGAAAACTGGAATCCTTTTACTTTTAACCTGTCCAAAGTTTAAGTGCCTTGTTTGTGTATTTAGATCTTTTATACTTAGTGTGATTATTGATATGGTTAATTTTAGTTCATTTTGCTTATTTTTTATTGGTCTCTTCTTTGTCCTATTTTTGGAATAAATGAATATTTGTTATAATTCTGTTTTTTCTTATATCTGTTGACTTACTAGTTACGTTTTGTTATTAGTGTTTGCTTTTGGACTTTTTCTATGTGTGGTTTATAGCATCACAGTCTACCTGCAAGTGTTAGGCTACTTCATATATCATATGGGTACCTTAAAATACTTAGACGTATGCATGTTCTTGTTTAAAGAGTTCTTTTTTAAAGAGATTTAAGTAAGAAAAAAATATTATGTATTTATAGATACCATTTCCATTGTTCTTCATTTTTTTGTGCAGATCCTCTTAACCTGTTTTTTTCTATTCTTGAAAGACTCCTTTTCACATTTCTTCTTATGTAGACCTGCTGGTGATTAATTCTTTCAACCTTTTTAAAAATAAGTTTATATGTTTTTGAGAGAGTGTGCATGTGCACAAGTGGGGGAGGGGCAGAGAGCGAGGGCACAGAGGATCTGAAGAGGATTTGTGTGTCAGCACAGAGCCCCAGGCAGGGGCTTGAACTCACAGATCGTGAGATCATGACCTGAGCTGAAGTTGGACACTTAACCAAGCCACCCAGGTGCCCCTCAACTTTTTTATTGCTAAAAAAGTTTTTATTTTGCCTTTTTTTTTTTTTTAAGGATTTTGACTGGATATAAAATTCTTAAGTTATATCCTCTTAAGGACAAATCTTTGACTATGATGAGTTACATCCTCAGTCATAAGCCCAAAATGCGTTTAATACACCTTACCTACCAAACGTCATTGCTTAACCTAGGCTACTTTAAATATGCTTACAACACTTTCATTAGCCTGCAGTTGGGCAAAGTCATCTAATATAAAGCCTATTTTATAATAAAGTGTCGAATATTTCATGTAATTTATTGAATACTGTACTGAAAGTATAAAACAGAATAGATGGATGGGTACAGAATGATTTTAAGTATCAGTTATTTATCATGGTGATCGCACGGCTGACTGAGAGCTGTGGCTTGCTGCCATTGCACACGTATCATGAGAGAGCGTCATACCACTAGCCTGCGAAAAAGTGATAATTTGCATCACGGTTTCTACTGAATGCATATCTCTTTTGCATCACATAAAGTTGAAAAATTGTAAGTCAGGACCATTTCTACTTTAAAGATGTACCACTGTCTCCTTGATTACATTGTTGTTGATGAGAAGTCTATCATCAGTGTTTTTTAAATTTTTAAATTTTTTAATGAAATGTGTCTTTTTTTCCTCTGGCTACTTTAAAAGTTTTCTCTATTACAGGTTTTGAGCTGTTTAATTGTCCCATAACCTGGTGTTTTCTTAATGGTTTTTGTGCTTGAGGCCCATCGAGCTTTTTCAGGGAATGTTTTGTTCATAATTTTTATTGAATTGAGAACATTTCTGTTTTTTCACATATTTGGGTTCTTTTTTTCTATTCACTTGGATAGTTTAATAACTTTCTTCTGTGGTTATATTTGTGATATATTTGTATCCATCGTATTTTTTTTTATCTCTATAAGTTGGTTAAATATATACTCCATGTCTCTTTTTAATTTGTTGAATGTGTAGAATCGAGTTAACAATAATTATTTTAATGTCTTTGCTAATCCTGCATCTGTGTCAATTTATAATTGTTTTTGAATTTTCCTAAATTTTCTTTAGTTTTGTTTTGGGATATAGTAAAATCACTTGGAAATAGTTGGTTCCTTTTGTGTCTGGTTTTAAGATTTGTTATGTGAGCAGCGTTCACTTAAGATAATTATTCCCCACCCATTGCCTGTACAAGATCATTCAGAGTACCTACTGCCCTAGGGGTGTGAGGTTTTCATTCTGCTTGTGGGAACAGGAACTAACCTTTACCCTCTGTGAGCTCTGGGCATTGTTCCCTTTAATCCTTTTGGCTGGTTTCTATACCCAATTTTTATTTCCTCATATTCCTGTGCTAATCAGTATTCTGGAATATTGTATATTTCAGTGTAGCTCTTTCTTCTCCAGTACTTAGGCCTCTGAATTCCAGCCACTTTGGTTTTGCTGGACTCTCAGCTCCATTTCTCAGCTCAGGTAATCCACTTAGTTTTGCCTGGATTCTCCTCCCTGTGCCATTTCTGGAAACTTTCAAGGGTGTAAACTGCAGCATTCATAGGGCTCACTTATTCTGGTTTTAATTTGTCATAGATCATGGTCTCTTACTGCTTGATACCAGGTATTTAGTAAGTTACTCTTTAATGTATTTTTGACTGGTTGTTTCGAAGCAGGAGGGTTAATCAAGTCTTTGCTCCTTGATTTTAGGTGGAAGTAAAACTCCAGTGATTGAAAGTTCAATTCACTTTAATTATAATTTAGGAAAGTATTTGCATTTGATTCAAGATATACTGGTATGCTTTAGATCATAAGGAAAAATTGCATAGCATTATATAAAATGAGTCAAATACTAGATGCATGTTGAGCATCTGCTATAAAGTACCTTCATATTTTATATAAACTAGTGTACTATATAATACTACCATATTTAAAACTGCAGGAATTCCTGTCCTTTTTCCAGATGTTGTTTAAATGTATTTCAAGACTGTCATCTTGTGATTAGAATAATAATTTTGTCAACTGTTAAGGTACCCAAACCCTTTTTAACTCTTTTTCTCATTTTACATTGTAAAAAAAGACACTGAACTTATCATCTTAATGAAATTTATACTTTGTGTTAAGTCTTTTTCTTATAGTCTCCAAACATAGCCCCTGTTTGCTGTTTTGCTTGTTACTTGAAAATCAAGTAAAGGAAGGAAAAAGAAAACTGCAAAATACAGTTTAATCTTTCAGATAGTATAAGGAGTATATGTTTATGTGGCATATAAAAACCTCCATCACCTGTAAAATGGGTATGTTATACATTATGACATGTAAGTTTGAAACCTTGAAATGAATTTCAGGGAAAAGCTAAGCTTTGAATTCTTTACAGAATGAAATTTTCTCTCACCACCCCCCCCCCACCCCCGCCCCGGCATGGTGGCATGTGTTTGTGTATGTGTGTATAGTTTCTGTGGATGGAGAGGCATTGGCAAATAAAAGTCTGAGAAAATGTTAAGCACCTATATTAATGGGTTCTACCGTTTCTGAGGGGAAGAGCTCAACACATGAGAAGATTTCTTCTGCATTGATCCTTCTAGGAAATTACTGATTTACTCATTGAGTAATATTTCTACATGGACTTTTTATAAATCTTAACGTGATTATTAAGTACCAAGTATGTAAGTTTTAGATAAGATCTTAATTATTGCCACTTAAGGCATTTTTACCAGGAACTTATAAGTGTAACAAAATATATTTATGACGTGTTCAAAAGATCCTGCTGTAAAAATTTTAAAAGAAAAAATTGCTTTCAGGTCTTTGTCTGAAGCTATGTCAGTGGAAAAAATTGCTGCAATCAAAGCCAAAATTATGGCTAAGAAAAGATCTACTATCAAGACTGATTTAGATGATGATATAACTGCCCTCAAACAGAGGAGTTTTGTGGACGCTGAGGTGGATGTGACACGAGATATTGTCAGCAGAGAGAGAGTATGGAGGACACGAACAACTATCTTACAGAGCACAGGAAAGGTAATTAAAGTATTTCACTCATTCATTAGAGTGAGTGTGTGTGTATCTAATCTGTGATTGGTTATACAATTGGCTAAAATTTGCTATTAGGAGCAATTTTCAAGTTTTATCTTTGAAAGGTCAGTAATAATACAGGTTTCTAAGTGGCCATATTTACTATTCCATCGTAGTATATAAGAAAGTGATGAAATGTCTGAATCACAGTGCAAGTCCTTGATTTACTCCTCTATTGTAAATCTAAAGAATAGCCCAGTTTTCTTGTTGATCAGGTTTTTGGTTTACTCTAATGAACAGGGAATATTGGTGGCCAGCTGTGTGGTCATTAAAATAATTATTGTTTTTCCCCACAAAGTAGAAACTTATGAGAATCAGCAGTCATTTATTTGTGTATTTTATACATATTCTGTTGTGTGGGTGTAGCGATATTTTTCTTTATTAATGGTTTTAGGTGGTTTTATTTTGGTTTTTTGGTTCTAGGATTGTGGGATTCCCCCCGCCCCCCTTCTCCTTTCCTCCTTTGTCTCCTTCCATCTCATTTCATGATTACACATAATGCATTAAAAAAATCCTTGTACATATACTTTTATGCATTTATTTGTATACAGCAAAAGGATTAATTCCTAGAAGCAAATTTCTGGTTAACAGAGATGTATACTTTAAATTTTGAAAGATAAAAATTTGAGGGGCGCCTGGGTGGCTCAGTTGGTTGAGCGTCCGACTTCAGCTCAGGTCGTGATCTCACGGTCCGTGAGTTCGAGCCCCGCGTCAGTCTCTGTGCTGACCGCTCAGAGCCTGGAGGCTGCTTTGGATTCTGTCTACCTCTCTCTCTGCCTCTCCCCCACTCATGCTCTGTCTCTCTCTCTCTGTCAAAAATAAACAAACATTAAAAAAAAAAAAGGAAAGATAAAAATTTGAAAGATACCGGATATTTGGTATCTTTTTTTTTTAATGCTTATTTATTTTTGAGAGAGAGAGAGAGAGAGCAAGAGCGAGAGAGCATGAGACTCACACACACACACACACACACACACACACGCATGCACGCACGCATCAACACATGAGTGGGGGAGGTGCGGAGAGAGGGAGACAGGATCCAAAGTGGGCTCTGCGCTGACAGCAGAGAGCATGATGCAGGGCTCAAGCTCACGGACTGCGAGATCATGACCTAAGCTGAAACCAAGAGTCCTAGTCACTTAATCGACTGAGCCACCCAGGCGGCCCTGGATGTTTGGTATCTTAATGGATCTCCATAAAGAGTGCATTGGTTCTGTTTGATTTGCATATTTCCATCTGTCTTTCTCTCCCTCACCTCCCAATTTGCTCTTAAATATTAATTCTCCACTGATGTGCAGTTGTTAATGGTGATTTAGTAAGGGAATTTGCAGGAGTGTGTGAGATTGCCAATGAAAGCAAACTTTAACATTGCTTTAGGTGGATTGGTTTTATTTGCAGATTTTGGATTCTGGCCTTATAAGTTTACTGTGCCTTGTTACTATGAATCAGATTACTTGAAAAGAGTATATGAAGGAAGGAATTTTTGTCCTTTTGTATTTTGACATGTTTTACAAAGTACTTGGGGTCAAGATTAGGAATCATTTTCCAGAACTTAGAATTATATAGAGAAATCTGAGAATATAAATAAACTTCAGTTTTTGTATTTACTGTAAAGTGATCTGCCGATACTAATTTTCATTGCCTAATGTGATTAAAATTTGAATATCACAACCTGCTAATGTTCTATGAATGTTCATTATAGTAGCCAAAATTTTTGAATCTCCTAGCAAAGGAATAAAACTTAGGTGCTATGCTCCATCTTACTTTTAGAATTGAATTTTCAAGAAACTGAGATGAACAATTTTCTTTGAGCTCTAGGTGGCAGGGTTTTCCCATCATTTCAAAACTTAGTGTTCTAATTTCATTTAGTGTTATTGCCACCAGAGTATAATTTAAGAAATAATGGTTTAAGAATTGTTTGGTAGCTAAGTTTGTTTCTATGAGTGTTAACATTTTTAGAAACCAGAAACAATGTTTTGACTAATAGTCTTTCTGTATCCCATTTTTATCTTCTAAACACTAAAAAATCTTTTAGGTACTCTGTCTGAAAAGCCCTGTGATTTGATTTGATTTTACTTTATTTTATTCTATTATTTTTTGATGTTTATTTGGAGAGGGAGAGAGAGTGTGAGCAGGGGAGAGGCAGAGAGAGAGGAAGAGAAAGAGTGCAAGCAGGGGAGAGGCAGAGAGGGAGAGAGAGAATCCCAAGCAGGCTCTGCACTGTTAGTGCTGAACCCAACGCGGGGCTTGAACTCACAAACCGTAAGATCATGACCCGAGCTGAAATCAAGAGTCAGACGCTTAACCAGCTGAGCCACCCAGATACCCCCAGGCCCTATGATTTTAGATAGACCTTCATTATTCCAGGGATTAGTGCCTTCTTACTTTCTGAGTTTGTGGAATAAAATGTTCTAGGTACCATGAGAAAAATAAGTATGTTACTTTATAGTTATATCATTTTTGCAAGCACCCCAAATAAAGCAACCTGATTTTATAATGCCATTAAAAACATAACTTTTAAACTTAAAAATTAGTAGTGTTCCTTGTTGAAAAATTGATTGGAAGAGATCATTAAAAGGAAGATAATAATCACTTATAATTCTACACAAAAATAACTGATAATATGGATTCTTCTGGAGTAAGTGTTCCTCACACAATACTTGATTATTTTTAAAGTAATGAGATTTGATTTTCAAGTATTTTCAGTGATTTTCATAGTAGGATTAAGAATTTATTTGCATTTGTCCCTGTGTTGGCCTTTGTACTGCTGGTAAAAAGCAGTGGTTGGTTAAGGGCTGGCATCTTTGCATGAGTCAAGTTTTTACAGATCTTTTAGGGGCGCCTATGTGGCTCAGTTGGTTGAGCAGCTGACTCTTGATGTCGGCTCAGGTCATGATCCCAGGATTGTGGGATCGAGCCCTGCGTCGGGCTCCAGGTTGAGCATGGCATCTGCTTAAGATTCTTTCTTTCTCTTCCTCTGCCTCTCTCCTCTGCTCCTGTGTACTGTCTTTCTCCCTCTTAACAAAAAAAGAAAAAAAATCTTTGAAAAGTGTGCATTGACTCCTAACAAACAGTATTTCAAAACTTTCCAAATCTCATATAAATTGTAGCAACCTGAGGTTAGTACTGGAGTTTGTCTTATCTAGAAGAAGAGATAGTAGTTGATTTCTTTAAGAATTAAGAAGCCTCTTTTGATAATATATCTATCATTTTTACTTCAGTGTTAACTTTTTTCCTGGCTACATATTTCAAGAGAGGCAGAATATGAATATATTTATAGCCAATTAAACAGTTTAAGTAAAATAAAAATAATAAGCTGTGTTTATAGTATTTGGTTTTTGGATCAGTTTTTTAGTAGTAGTAGTAGTTTGATTTTTTTTTTTTAATTTTTTTTTTTTTCCAACGTTTATTTATTTTTGGGACAGAGAGAGACAGAGATGAACGGGGGAGGGGCAGAGAGAGAGGGAGACACAGAATCGGAAACAGGCTCCAGGCTCCGAGCCATCAGCCCAGAGCCTGACGCAGGGCTTGAACTCCCGGACCGCGAGATCGTGACCTGGCTGAAGTCGGACGCTTAACCGACTGCACCACCCAGGCGCCCCTTATTTATGTATATACTAAAAAACACTTCAGAATGATGTAGTAGGGAAGAACTGATAGGAAGAAAACAGTCTGAAGTTATTTATTAAATAAACTTACTCTCTTTGACTATTTAATTTTAAGTGGGCTAATTAAAATCCATTTATATTTTAGAATTTTTCCAAGAATATTTTTGCAATTCTTCAGTCTGTAAAAGCCAGAGAAGAAGGACGTGCTCCTGAACAGCGACCAGCTCCAAATGCAGCACCTGTGGTAAGAATGTTTTCTTGCTTATATATTAATTAATTAATTAATTAATTAATTAATTTTAATGAAAATGACTCTTGTTTTTCAGTATTGTAATTTTGATTTAAAAACTTTTTTTTTTTAATTTATTTTTGAGAGACAATGTGAGCAAGGGAGGGGCGGAGAGGGAGAGGGAGGGAGGGAGGGAGGGAGGGGGAGAGAGAGAGAGAGAGAGAGAGAGAAAATCCCATGGGCTCCACACTATCAGCACAGAGCCTGATGCTGGGCTTGAACCCATGGAACTGTGAGATCACGATCTGAGGCGAAACCAAGAGTTAGACTCTTAACTGATTGGACCACCCAGGTGCCCCTCAGTATTGTAATTTGAAAACAAAGTTTTTTTTTTTTTTTCAATGTTTATTTATTTTTGGGATAGAGAGAGACAGAGCATGAACGGGGGAGGGGCAGAGAGAGAGGGAGACACAGAATCGGAAACAGGCTCCAGGCTCTGAACCATCAGCCCAGAGCCTGACGCGGGGCTCGAACTCACGCACCGCGAGATCGTGACCTGGCTGAAGTCGGACGCTTAACCGACTGCGCCACCCAGGCGCCCCTAAAGTTTTTAAATCAGTAACTTTTCATTTTTTCGCTGCTTTAACAGTGCTGAAGGATTTGAAAATCTTCCCCACTGTTAAAACTTACACAATGAGATCTCACCACTTACACAATGAGATTCACCACACACAAGTTAAAATGGCTTTTATCAAAAAGACAGAAAGTGTGGGCAAGGATGTGGAGCAAAAGGAACCTTTATGCATCCTTGGTGGGAATGTAATTGATGTCACCGCTAGGGAAAACAGCATGGAAGTTCTTCAAAAAATTAAAAATAGAACTACTGTATGAACTAGCAGTCCTACTTGCAGCTATTTATTGAAGAAAATGAAAACAGTAACTTGAAAAGATATATGCATTCTCATGTTCATTGAAGCATTACTTACAATAGCCAAGATATGCAAACAACCTAAGTGTTAATTGATGGATGAATGGGTAAAGAAATTGTGGTATATACAAACAATGGAATATTTTTCAGCCATAAAATAGATTGTAATCTTGACTTTGTGACAGCATAGATAGACCTTGAGGGTGTTATGCTTAAGTGAGATAAGTTAGAGACACATAGCTTATTCTCTCTTTTATATGTGGAATCTTAATACCAAAACCAGCTTCTAGATACAGAGGACAAATTAGTGGTTGCTAGAGGTGGGGGTGGGTGGGAGTGTGAGAAATAGATAAAGGGGGTCAAAAGATAAACCAACAACAATAATTAAAAAAACCCCAAGCAACCAAAACAAAAAAAAGTTACTTCAGCAATAATTCTTAACTAGAGACATACTTGGGTTAGAATCTGAAAGTGGTAAATCTGTTGTGTAAAGTAATGTACCTACTTGGGGCGCCTGGGTGGCTTGGTTGTTTAAGCGTTCGACTTCGGCTCAGGTCATGATCTCACGGTCCGTGAGTTCGAGCCCCGCGTCGGGCTCTGTGCTGACAGCTCAGAGCCTGGAGCCTGTTTCAGATTCTGTGTCTCCCTCTCTCTCTGCCCCTCCCCTGTTCCTGCTCTGTCTCTCTCTGTCTCAAAAATAAATAAACGTTAAAAAAAAAATAAAGTAATGTACCTATTCATTTTTGCTTGGGAGAGTCATTACCATTGTTAGAGATATAAACCCTATGAACAGTCCACACTGGGAGCTTTTTCTGAATCATTCGTATCTGTGACTTCTTGGTGAATGTATTGTGTTTCTCTTGATCACAGATCATTTGGTTCTTTCCTTGTACCTTAGTTTTAGCCACTTGGGTTGACTGCCTCATTGAGTTGCCATTTAGGACTTTTCCAAAGTAAATTTCATGTATGACCTATAGCCTATATTTAAACCCAGATATACCCTCCAGTTTTGTTGAAACTCCTTCGAGCTAGTCATATGATTCAACAAAAGATAAAAAATACAAATAAGATTGTTTTTATTTTATATAGTTTTCAGAAGCATATTAAAATTTGAAAGAGCACTAATACAGTCTGCAAGATCTAGTAGTTTTGCTTGTTCATGAAATCATTGGTATTTAATTTTTTAGAGGTAGTGGACTTTTGTTGGTATTTAGGTTACTTTGAGTTGACTTTCCAGCAAGTACTTAAGTGCCTACTGTTTGTCAGACAGTGTGCTAACAAAAATAGAAGAGATAGCTGCCGTCTTGGAGCTTAAAGTCTAGTAGGACATAGAGATGAGTAAAAAAACTAGTGGAACAACTTACGGTGATAAAATAAGGGTACTTATAATTGTGAATTGGTTAATGTTTTGAATAGCGATTGGTAGGAAACTTATGTAAAATCTTAAAACAGTAAAACCGTTATCCTTGTGATTTAGTTATCTCTGTATTTCCATAATCATTAAGATATATAAAAATTTTAAATTTGGCATTTAACTACAGAAGTATATACTTACTGACAGTCTTGAATGAACTATCTTTTATCTGGATTAATACTTAAGGTAGTATCCTATTGTAACAAAATGAAGAGTATTTTTTTGTCTTTTGGAATACCATGAATTTCCCAAGCAATTTTGGTAATATTCCTTAAATATGCTTTTTTAGGTTATTATAGGCTGAATTTCAGATAAAGTATTTGTGAATTAAGTTTATATCATTAGATTGGCAACTTATTCTAAGTGTTTTAACTAAATAATACCGTAACTTCAGTCTTATCTCGTACATTTATATGGGTTTATTGTCATAGTTGTCATATTTATTTAATTTAGGGATTAACAGCAGAATAATTTAGGGAGAAGGTTCTAAAATGTCAGTTCAGTAAACTGAATTAAATTTTTTTTTGTTAAAAACAATTCATAATTGGAAGTTCATTTTTCCATAAAGAAATTGAAGTAATCACAGTGAAATTATTAAGCACACCCATTTTCTTTCTACAGTTTCTAAGAGGTTTGCATTTTGCCTTGATACAAGTTTACTTGGAGTCCTTTGCTCTTGTCCCTTATAGGATTGGTAATTTTTTAGCAGTAAGCATTATCTTGAAAATAAGATTCATATGACTCCCCACTTTTGTCTTATTGGCTCTTGTAAGAAAAAAAGCTTAGAAAATAATATGTTTATTGTGGTTTTTATTCTGAGTTTTAAGTAAGAAGTTAAAATATTAACATGTACCTTCTAATTTTTCTACAGGATCCTACGTTGCGTACCAAACAGCCTATCCCAGCTGCCTACAATAGATATGACCAGGAAAGATTCAAAGGAAAAGAAGGCAAGTTATTTAATGTTTATTTCTCCCTTACTGTGGTGATGATGAACTTGAGAGGTAGTGTCGCCTGATGTTTATGAGCAGGTGTTGGCAAACATCTGCAGGCCAAATCTGGCCCAACACGTATTATTATAAATAAACTTGCTAAAACATGGTGACATTTATTTATGTATTATATGTGGTTCCTTGGTGTTGTGACAGAGGTTGTGTAGCCTGCAGAGCCTTAAAATACTATCTGGTCTTTTACAGAATAAATTTGCCAACCCCTGGTTAACAGCCTGGATTCTGGATCTGGATTGCCTGTGTCACAGTTACTTTTTGTGTGAATTTTGATAAATTACTTTAACTGCATTCTTGTTGCAGTTTCTTCTTGTGTTACATTGTAATACTAATAGTAGTAGTAATAGCTATCTCTTAGCTTTATTGTGGGGTGAAACTGGTTAATAAAGCCCCTAGAATAGGGACTGGCATATAATAAACTGTCTATAAATATTTGCTGTTATTGATATTCTGCTTTTCAGAAGTTTAGATTGGAGGTTCTGTATACCAAATCATATTTCTCAAATTGTATATGTATACATTCAGAACTTGGGAAGCATAGATTGTAGTAACTATATAAGGACTTATTTTGTGGTAGCCTACATGGTATGCTGGCTAATGTGGTAGTGAACCATTTCCATGTTAGTGTGGTGGTTAGTGAAGTGGCACCATCATGTCCTTGTAATTTCATTTGGCACCATCATTTATCTTGACTTAATTTGTGAAAAAAAATGAATAGAAGCAACTGTAAGTTTAACATTTATGATTTTTCTCTGCAAAATCTGAAATCTCCATTTAAGTTTTAGTAAAGGATATACTGCTTCTATATAGTGAATTTTGGGTGCTGACTTAATATACTGGATAAAGGTGTGTTCTGTGAATACATGCTGTAGAAGTATAGTGGTTCATTCTTTTATTCGCTGCAGTGTTTTTCTTGTGGAATGAATTATGTAAAGTAGGGTTTGGCCAATTACAGCCCAGAGACCAAATCTGATCCTCTTTGGGCCAAATCAGGCTGTGCCCATTTGTTTACATATATTGTTTATCTTGCTTTTGCACTATAACTGCAAAATTCAGCAGCTGCGATATAGACAGATAGCTTGCAACGTATAAAATATTTAATGTATGACCTTGTATGGAAAGGCGTATTGAGACTGTCCTGGAACCTTTATCACACTTTTTATGGCATTGCTTTTCTACAAATTATATAATATACGCATATGATTATAATTTTGAAACCCAACTTTTTATAATTTAAGGTCTTCTCATGATATTAGAAGCTTTTAGTGCTACTGTAATTGAGTATTAGGAGTATATACTTTGGACATTATATTTTATTCAGTCCAATTTTTTATATTCCCACCTAACTATATGACTGTTGAGCACAGTTGTATAGTCTTAAACAGCTTCTACACAAAGGGCTTGCTGGTGTGTATTTTTTTTTTTTTTTTTTTTTTTTGAGACTAGTATCCCTTTTAAAGTTTTTGTCTTCACAGGTATGTAATTTAACTTTATATGTATAGTACATTGGATGTTTTGTTACACTATTTACTTTCAGATTATAATGCAGATGATTACTACAGATTTGTTATTGATCATAAGATACATAAAGTGTAACCCCCTTTCGCAAACCCCCTTTTTTTATAGAAACGGAAGGCTTCAAAATTGACACTATGGGTACCTACCATGGTATGACGCTGAAATCTGTAACGGTAAGTCATTTTGACTGCAGGGGTTCTTTTGTCCCAGGCATTTAATGTGAGTAGCAGATGTCGAGGAAAATCTTTGTTCTCCATTATTTTCTATTTCAGACATTTATCTTTAATGATTAATTGTGCCGATAGATCTGTATGGTGATTATTTGATTTGCGGATATCCTCTCTTTGGTTTAACTGAGTAGTGTGTATAAATAAAAGCTGTTTTGATTAACTTGCAAGTAGGGTGGATGCTACCTGGTTAGAGTATTTAATGCCACTGAGGAGTTACAAGGTCCAATCTGGGAGAGTTATTTTCCATAATATCTTATGTTCTTTAAAACGTAATACCTTTTGCTCTTTAAAAAGACAGATTGTAATAATGGTTGATGTAATACTTACAAAATGTATACTTGTCAGAACCACGGTCTTAGGTGTACACAATTATAAGCCTTCGGGTCACCTTTAACAGACTTTCTTTTATATATTTTTAACCGCCTAAAAATGGTTATTCCTGGATGTTCTGACTAGGCTGTATTTAACACCTAATTTTTATTTAGTCAGTGATAGGAGTTGGTGATGTAGAGCAGGAATTCTGCTAACCCTATTTTGTATATTTATATTATAGATTATTATACCTTTTATATTTTAAAATACTACGTGTATATATTTTAGAGTACCTATATATTTTAAAGCTAATACCAAACTTTGTCTTTGTTTACAAATCATCAGATCTTTGAGGACTCAGTATGACATGGAATCATCATATATATTTGCTGTGATTTCTCAGAATTAAGATATATCTTGTCATGCTTTTCCAGAACAGATAGCAAATAAATGTGGAGAATGTGATATTAAAAGTTGACCTTTCTTATTTTCTTTTTTTCTTCCTTTCTTTTTTTCTGGACAAATTGGAATTGAGTATTAGATATTTTGCTGATACGTTTGTTTTTAAGTTGTTATCAGATTTGTTTTTGTATTATTGAAATTGTGAACTCAATGATTCATTTGACAAGTACTTAGCACGTGTGTCACACCCTGTTCTAGTTGTTAGGACTATAGCTATGAATTAGACAGGGCTTCTGTAGAGAGAGTAGTCAGAGAGACCTCTCTGAGCAGGTGACTGTTGAGCAGAGATCTTGCAGAAAAGCATTCTATGAAAGACAGCTCCAGGGTCAAGATTGAGGCCAGTAGAGCAACAGCATGAAGGCCAGTGTCTCCATGACCTAGTGAATGAAGTGAAGGTGGTAAAAGATAAGGTACAGAGATCTGCCTAGTTCTTCCTACTTCAAAATGTAACTCACGGCTGTAAAATTTAGCTTAAAAATTTTTTTTAAGTTTATTTATTTATCTTGAGAGAAAGAGGGGGCACAAGCAGGTGAGGGGCAGAGCGAAGGGGAGACAGAAACCCATGTAGGCTGTGCGCTGATGCAGGTCCTGAACTCACAAACCCTGAGGTCATGACCTGAGCCGAGATCAAGAGTCAGACGCTCGACCGACTGAGCCACTCAGGCACCCCTTAAATTTTTAAAAGATTAATTTACTGACATTTTCTTGGGAATTGAACTTGCCTACTGGCCATTCCCTAAGTGAATTATTGTGAACTGCAGTTGTTATCCTGAGGTAAACATCAGGGTAAGTTTTTTATGGTGGTTGTCATTGTTGTTTTAACTTTTGTCTCACCTGAAATGTCATGAAATTGGTTTCATTACTGAGCTTCTGTGGAAATAGTAAAATCAGTGACAATTTTTATAGCGATGCTTTTTACAGAACAGTTTTTCTGAAATTCAAGGACAGCTTCTTAATTAAACAGTTTGAGAATGATATAGCTCTTTTTCCTCATTAGATTTTGCTTCTAAATATACTTACAAGAGAGGTGAATTTAAACAAATTTATGGTGTCTGTTTTTACAGAAATAATCACATAAAAGACATTGTGTAGGAATGCAACAGAAAGACTAAAAATGGTCAGATTGCTGGTACTTTTCATAATTTAATACCCCGTTGAATCTCTACTGTTTGTGACTTGATTTATTTTAGCAGTTGTTAGAGAATATATGGAGAGGTTTGAACGTGAAAGCTCTGAAGTTGCTCTGATAATTGTTTCTTTTATTTGAATCTCAGTCTTAATGCTTCCAATATAATGTTTTTTCCTTGTCTTTTTTCTTTTGGAATTATTACCTATTTATGAGCTTGTGAGTTTGACCAACTTTCTTATTCTCCAGTTAAGAAGATTTCTCTTGGGATATCCACCCAGATACACAAAGCAGTTAAATGTATGTTAAAGGGTTTGTTGCACAGGTATGACTTCCTTTCTAGTTTACGTATGAGCTCATTTTAGCTACCGCTCTTTTTCAGGGTTTTGACACATTTAGTTGATCTACATAGTTACTAAGATTAAGATAATTCTACATTACAATGGGTCTGCGTATCTTTTAAATGTAAGACACTAGAGTTCTGTTAGGTACAAGACTAAATAAATTAATCAGGTTATCAAATGGCTAGAAAATTTTTATACAGTTGATTTTTTTTTCTTCATTTGTTACAGAGAAAGGAGTATGTGTTTGGACAATAAAATTTCATAAGAATCAAAAGGTATTGAGAGTTATAAAAATTAAGGGTCTGGCAGGGTATTTGCTAATATTAATATTTTGTGAAGATAGTAATTTAGAGAAATTCATTATAGGAATGGAAGCCCAGGTATATTTAAAGTTACAAGGTTGTATAGTTGAGTCTGGTTAACTTTTGAGTCAGGTCAAGGAATACAGAGGCATAAGACATGGATGTTGGAATTGCTAAGGGACTTTTCCAAGTTGGGAGACTTTCCCCAAAATGTGTTAGTTGGGTTGTATAATGTTTAAGAAATACTAGATTAAACATTCTTTGGTATAAGAATCTCATCATTTTTAATATATAAATATATAAATTGGAAGACAAGAATATGCACTCATTCCCAGGCTTGTTTGCCCCTTTCCTCGCTCCTGTTGAGAATACTGGGAAGAACTAGAGTTGTGTGGGATCAGTTAAGTGAAACTGTCTTAGTAGTTTTCGACTGGGAGTAGAAACCATTGGGTTGGGAGTAGGGAACACTGGAATGTGTTTACATGGGTTCCTTTTTTGAAAGGAGAAATCTTAGACTAAGAAAGTGCCACTTGACAGTGCTTTTCATTATGTAGAAAATAAGAGGAAGTGATGAAGACCCTTCTTTTTGGGTAGTAGTCAGGAACTCATCTGTGGTTCCCCTGGAGAAGGAGTAAAAAGACAGGATAACACTTCACTCTTTTTATTTGTGAGATTTGGTAATTGAATTGGGAACTACTTCATTTTAGCCTCCCATTCTAGCTTGTTAATGTTTAGGTAGGAAGGTCACATACTCTTTTCCTTGCTTATTCTTTATTCTTTTCTTAGTTCATATTGAATATCACTGACTCTCAGTTACCTTGCTTTCTTCATTTTTGAGGAAACATTTTGCACTCTGAAGTTGTGCAGATCCAATGCTTTCCTTTAAGACTGTTTGAATGGACTCCAACAGATATTATAGTTCTTAAAACATTTTAAGCCTTTTTTTGGGAACCATTTTCCTGCTAGTAAGTGAATTAGATGGGTATTCAGTACCTACATTAGAGATGTAATATCACCATCAACTTTCATCATTTAGAAAAATCCAGAATCGCAATCTCTCTATAGAGTTATATTCTTGTTTTTAAGTTTATTTATTCATTTTGAGAGAGACAAAGACAGTACCAATGGGGGAGGAGCTGAGAGAGAGGGAGGGAGGGAGGGGGAGAGAGAGAGAGAGAGAGAGAGAGAGAGAGAGAGAAAGAGAGAGAGAATCCCAAGCAGGCTTCGCAGTGACAGCACAGAACCATGTGATCATGACCTAAGCTGAAATCAAGAGTCAGACACTAACCGACTGAACCACCCAGGTGCCCTTATAAAGTTATATTCTTAAGCAGGAATGCATATATTAGTAACCTACCAGCTCCCCTGTTTTATAAAATTTCCTTCATTCTCATTTGATTGTTAATTGTTCATCTCTGCTTGAAGTGTTATGGGAGTATTATATTAGCAGTAATGCTCTAGAGTTATGTCTAGAGTCTAGGCCAGCAGAAGATAGAGACCACTGATTAAGACTTTCTTACTGAACACTCTTCTTTCCTTCCCTTCTTTTCTTTAGCAAATAATTTTCGAGTGCTTATGTAATGTTATCGTGTAGATTTTAAGGGTGCTAATGGGAAAATTTCTTCCTAGAGTTAGATGCATCCTGTTTATACATGCTAGTGCACTGACATCATATGCCTCTCTTAGCATACTTTCGGGATCATTCATTGTGCCAATCTAAACATGGCCCCGCATGTTTTATTAGACATCAGTGTCATTTAAAATTTTATTTTATGCACTAATATTTAAAAATAAAAGTATGTTGCAAAGTCTGGATTTTCAGCTTCTTTTGAGAAGTCATCTGGCATGACTGGGTAGTGGGTCCACATCTAGAGTAGCAAGAGTCACACGGATACAAAGCAGTGACTACCTTCTTTAAATGGGAATGTTTTCTTTAGGTTGCACATAGGCCTCACTACTCTGTTGTTTTTGATCTAGTGGTCTTGACTTATTTATACAGTTGACCCTTGAGCAACACTGGGATTAGGAGCGCTGAGACCCCCCCCATCCCCTTCATGCAGTTGAAATTTTGCATATAGCTTCTGACTCACCCAAACCTAACTACTAATAGCCTACTGTTGACTGGAAGCCTTAACTGATAACAGTCTATTAACATATTTTGTGTATTGTATGTATTATAACTGTATCTTATAATAAAGTAAGCTAGAGAAAAGAAAATGTTCAGAAATAGAGAAGAGAAAATTTATGAATTTATTTACTGTACAAATTTATTTACTATAAAAAACCTACATACAAGTGCATTCATGCAGCTCAAACCCATGTTGTTCAAGGGCCAACTGTACCACCTGCTTAGACCTCACTGGCCTTTCAGTTTGAAATTCTTGATCTAAATAAAGG